TTATCAATGTCTTTTTGACCGTCTGTGTCACATCCTAGGTAATTAAAAATTTTGAACTTATTATAGGCTTACATTGTCTAGAATTATTTTTGAATGGATAATATATTTTCCCCAAAACGCTAATATTTTGGTTTTGTCTTTTGAGATGGTTAGATTGTAAGAGCTGCATAGTCGCTTGAAGTGCTGCAGGGCATATTGTAGATAATTTTCAGTTTCTTGAATTATGACAGCATCATCTGCACAAAGTAGAAGATTTGAAATAATTTTCCTAGTCAATTTTATTCCTGTGCTAATATTTTGTTTCCATCTCAGAAATATGTTTTTTTTAAATGTTAAAAAGTGTTGACCATCCTTGTCGAACATCTTTGTTAATTCAAATTTCTTCTGTCTTTATGCAATCTGTCTTAATAATTATTTTTGAATTATTATATATGCTTTTTATTGTTTCTATGAGATGAGTAGGGTAGCCATAATTTTCCATAATACCCCAAAGTTTTCTTCTATCAACATTATCAAAGGTTTTAATGTACATATTTTACATTTGTATGTACCTGATGATGTTCTAACATACTATTGCAAACTTATTCTTTATTACTTGTAAGATTGGACTAGTGAGACAAATAATTTCCAAAAGAAAAGTTTCACAATATTTAAAGCTCAATGCTATGTCTTTGCACAGGTTCCCTTCTTGTAGCTGCAGCACAGTTTGGAGGATATGTTTTGGGCACAGACATAGATTACCTAATGCTTCACGGTAAAACTAGGCCCACCAGAATTCAACAGAAGGTACCTATGCATTTCTTTTTTGAACTCATTCACAAACTATACTTATCTGTTCTCAATTACATGTCCAAAAAATTAGTCAGGAAATCAACTGTAGGAATCGTGTACCTATGTTTATTTTATATTCCTCTTCAAAATAATCATGCTGTTATCTAATCCCTTGCTTGAATTTTACATTACGAAGTAATGTCTACTGGAGAAGGAATTATGAGAAGGTAAAAATGGGTTTAGTCAGGGCATCTAGAAATTAATAGGAGAGGGGGAAATTTCATGAGTAATATTCTTGTAAAATATGCTTATTAATTTAGTTACATGTAAAATTCAAGCATAGACAGGATAATTCTGGCAAAAAATTGGAAACATTCAAATTTGAGGGTAATAGTGGTGTTTGATAAGACCTTTTACGAGAATTGCCATTGTCATAATGGAGAACTGTTTTTCAAATTTGTAACTTAATAATGGTGCTTGGTTCAGGAATGTCATTCAACTATTTCTACTTGGTTTTCAATAATCACCACTCTCAAAATATACACAACGTAACTGTTGTAAAACGGTACTGTGTTTGGTGGCACATATTAATTTCCGAGAAATGTTAGAAAATTCCTTATTGTGTGTTCTTTGATTGTCTATTATAGAATTGAGAATGTAAATTATTTCTAATTTTTTTGTTTTCTTCCCTCCCCCCAGAAACAGAGAGAAAAGGATGAAAGTGTACGAACAAATATGAAACAGTATGGGATTGAGAATCGTTACTTGGATGTTCTTGTGGCTGATTCTTCTCTCCCTCTGTGGCATTCAGCCATGCGACTGGATGCTATTATCACTGATCGTAAATTATTCTTCCTTTGTAATTTGATTGTAACGTAGAATGGTTAAAAAAACATTATTTCCGTCATGCTGCTTAAAATTATATTAATTTGATTTTATTGGTTGTGTTTGTGTAATTCTTGTGTACAATTTTTACAGCTCCTTATGGAATCAGAGAAGCCACTGAGCGGATAGGTTCTACAAAAGATTATCAGATTGAAGAAAAACATTTAGCAAATCACATTCCCTCAAAAATTGAGTATGGGTTACAACAAATATTTTTTGATCTCTTGAAGTTAGCTGTTGAACATTTAAAGCCTCAAGGGAGACTAGTGTGTTGGATACCTGTTGTAAGGTATGGCAAATACTTTTGTTTGCAAACTCATTTAAGAAACACATGTTTAATGCCCTTGGGTATACTTTTATTATATTTCTAGTATCTTCAGCCAAATATATACATTATTAGAATTTCAAAATCATTTTAAAGGACAATTTTGTTTAAAGCTGAAATTTTATTACTTTTTTGTTTCCATTAGTAATTGTTACTGATATTAGGTGTGTGTTTAGTTTAGAATTTATTGTGAATATCCCCGTGAGAACTGTAGCAAATCCTGAAAATATTCTAGGAAGGAACTGATTCCCTTTTCTTTGAGTTGCCAAATTATTTTATTACCTTTTAAAATTAGATAATAAACAAATAACAACAATAGAAATCTTTAATATAGAAATGGATGTGTATTAATATGTGTGTGTGTGTGTGTGTGTGTGTGCGCGCGCACTTGGGTGTGGGTATGTATCTGGCATGATGGGGGAGCTGGGTGTGCAAGGAAGAAGATGGAGTCAGTGAGTCAGGCAGGGCTGCTTTTTAGATGATTGTGATAAGTAAATACACTATTAATGCCAGTAATTGGCAAACTCAGTATTTTTGGTAATTGTAAAACTACAGTAGTGCTCAAAAACTGCATCACCTTTCTCACAGTTGTTATCTGCAATATAATCTTGAAAATACACCACTTTATTTGCAAAATTCGAGTGAGTTATGAAGGTAATGAAAACAGAAACATCATATAATTCTCATAAAATAGTATATGATTACCAATTTCTACTAATATTTGTTTAACATTTTTGAGAGCAGTTTGGATTAGGAAAATACAGAATGCCTATTGTCTTTAGGTGATGTGGTTTTTTTGAGCACTACTGTACATTATTGATGATAGTGTATTTTTTTAACTGAAATTTGTTCTGTAAAACAGATCTTTAAAAAAGGTCATGTATAATTAAAAAAATTCAATTTGCATATTTGCATTTCTTGCGCTTCTTTGCTAGAATCCTTCAGGAATTATCACTTTAGAATACAATGGGAATAATTTTAATGGAATGTGTTAATATGGATAGAAATTGTGGTATTATAATTTTATGTAACAGTTATCGATGCGAGAAAGCACTTGCTCTTGAAGCACCACTAGTTATATAATTCTGTGGATGTTTTGAAAAGATTATGACTCTAGGTTGGCTAGTTGATAATATTTACTTGGAATGTAAATATTTTAATTTATTTCAAATACTGTTTGACAAGTAGTTTTTCATTTGAAATAAGATTTTCTGATTTGTTTTCAGGAATGACTACTGTGAAAGCAAGCTACCTTCACATCCTTGTTTACAATTGGTTGCTAATTCTGAACAACAATTGACTATTTTTACCAGTAGGCGTTTGCTTACATATGAAAAAATATGTGAACACGTAAGTGTCTACCTCTTACAACTTTTTCTGATTTACTATTTTCGGCACAGAGGGTATATTGTGACGTCATGGATACTCATAGCGACCACAGACACAGAGCTTTCATATAACAAATATATTTATTAACAAAGAAACAAAAACAATATATACACTTAATTTCCTATTACCGCCTAGCTCTGATGGACCTACTATCCCCTGATCGCGGGGACGATCCAAACCCATTGGAAGACGTTCTATTGTGGCATCGCCACGATACAGCTGCTCCCTCCTATGACGCGCGCACAAAGGCTAAGCTTCCGTGACCGGATTAGTCACCCTTGGGAACACAAGCTCGACCTCCCTGCTGTGGATGTGCATTTTCTCTACGGCCTCTCTCTCACGTTCACCGACTCCTGAGCTAGAGGTCCCTTATCCCTGCGACACGTCTCTCCTACCAGCAACACCCAGCGCGGTAGATCATCTGACGGACGTCTACCTACTAGACCACTCCGCACCTCGGCAGCACGCACACAGCATCGCTCCCCCCGTACCGCAGTCACCCAAGGACAAAGTCCTCTCGCAGGCTCCGTCAACTCGTGACTCGCCTCGCGACCGGGCTCGCATATGCACCGTCCGGTGGCCCAATTTTGTCACTCACGATCTCCCGCGTCTCCAAACCCACCCACTGCTCTTAACACTCAGTTATATATCAGGCCCACTGACCTACACTCACCCCCCCTCCCCCCGCCTGTGATAACAAGTGAAAGTTTCTATAGCCGGAAGAACCCCAAAGCCTGTTCTCCCGTTTCCGCGTTCTGCCTTACGGAAAAAACCCTTTTCTCCTTCTGTGGCTGAGCTAATCCTCTACCACAGCTCCCCAAAATAGATGCCACGCAAAGGCACCGCTGCTAACGTTATAATATCTACACACTCAATTTATTTATGGCAAATGTCCTTTTGTCCATGCGTGCATGCACTCTGCATTTACTGGGGCTCAGTAACATTATCTCAGTGGTAGGCGTTTAGCTAGAACTGATTTCTTATCCTCAGGTTTGTTAGTCCTGGGGATTTGGAAGATGAAGTGTTGATAGTGAGGGGTGAAAGGACGACACACTCATAGAGACTTATACAAACACACCCATGCCCAAGGCCAGACTCGAACCCGCGATCTTCTGGTCTGAGTCCGCTAAGGCACTACTGCCTTAACAATCTCGGCCATTACATTGTATATTTGTGTATTATTTTAATATTATATTTTGAAGTACAACTAATACAAATTGTTCAAAGAATTGATAACATCAACCAGGAATCAAAGTGAGGTCTCTTGGTTGATTGGACAATTGAAGATGCTAATATTTTTAACACAAAGAAAGGATTTATTACCTAGTTTACATGTCATTAAATGTGCATTAACTCAAATAATGTATTTATCACTTCCCAGAAGTTAACCTTAAATTTAACTGAAATGGTAGACAACGTAAAGTATTTAAAGTTATTTCATTAAATGTTATGCTGAAATGTATTTGAAAATAATAACAAGTCCTGTATTCCATGTGCTGGCTGTGTTAATAAGCTACAACTCATCTTGGTGAAAATATATTTTTATGCTCAAACTTTCCATTATACCATGTGAAAAAAATCTTTTGTAGGTTGTTCTTTTTAGATTGCGTCTATTTTTTTTCCTTTACAGGAAACTCATTTACCTCCAAATGTTGACCTGTCAACAGCAGAATTCCGTGCTAAGTTTTTCCGATATGGAGAGGAAGTGAGAAAGCATCGTAAACAACAAAAAGAACTAGCAATGAATCTTTCAAAAGCTACTGTAACAGAGAAAGACAAAATGTATGAGGATAAATCAGGAAGGTACAGAAGCAGTTGAATGTATTGTTTTGTGATGTATGACTTTGTAAAAAGCTTTGAGTTTTTGTGTATCGTAATGAGTGAATGGATCAACATATGTTGAGCATGTGCAAATGCTGTTTGTAAACTACAGCATTCCTTGTTAATGAAATGCATCGTGTTGAATCACCCCAAAATCTTTTTAAGATGGAATATTCCCCAAAACATTTTTCACGTTAACATTCTGCTATTTATGTTCATCAGTTTTAATGCCAAAAATGTTATTCTTTGAAAACATTTTTTTATTGTTGGATTAGGTTGCCTTTTGTGTGTACAGTAAACTGTTTGAATATTTTGAATATGTAATTTATGTATTCTTGTCCAGGATACTGTTAGTCTTAAAAATTATGAGATGTTGCAGTGCAGTCTTTCAGCAAATCAATCATTCTAGTTATTTTGTGTTAAAATCTTGATTTTTTTACAATAGTGATATGATTCCAGGCAAGGTATGTAACTAGCACTTCATGTAAATATAAATTGGTTTGTCACATGTTTTTTAACAATTGATGTTCTAATTTTGAGCAGGGAGTAGTACTTTTTAGAAGAATATAAACTTTATTTGGTATCTACATTATATTATGCAACTGCAAAGATATCTAGTGAAGATCAAGAAGTCACACATTTCTTTGTCTGCTTCTTTCTAGATTTATTGTAATGACATATTTGCATTTTTGTGGTGATCTGTTAGAGACTCTGGAGTGTTGAAATGATATTGTTAAGAGGAAGGTTATTTGGTAAATATGTTGGAGGAACATAGAAGCAGTTACAGGATGGAAAAAATGAGACTGAGAACACAGAACTGAAGTAGGCCAATTGTGGCTCAGCTAAATATTTTCAAATCCTTATCTTGTCAATGAACCAACAATTATTTGTGTATCCCTTTGTACACATTTTGTTTGTCAAACTTTCATAAATTTACTCTGAATTCAAATCAATGTAGTCATCAAAGTTGTAATTTTCTTTGTTATTGTTAGTGAATATTTAACTGTGAGTGTCTTTGAAGAGCACATGAAGCCACAATTGCAAGAGTAGTACTATTACTAATTAAATTTAGTGTTTGGTTGACTCTTGAGATGCTGAGACAATGCCATGCAAATCACTGATTTTAGCAATCACAATGTCTAAAGTAAGTCAATGGAATGCTGCTATTGGTAATTTTGTTGAAATGACATTCACAGTTTTATTTTAATTGGCCCACAGATTTCCAAGGTTATACTGAGATATTTTAAATAATATTTCCATTTCTCATTTGGGATTCTTCAGAACACAGTTACCATAAAAGCCAGCAAAGTGTATAGAGTGAAAAGATAAACTGCTTCTCAAGGAAAACTCAATTTTAGTTGTAAAATAAAATATTATAATTATCAGCATTTGGCCTTAAAAATGTGAGACTAAACTATTTATAGGAAATGAGAGTGAGACTAGAAACTGAAGTATGATGAAAAACTCATATTTATATGCTGAGTGCAGTTCAATTGTATATTGTAAAGGAATGAAGTGGTGCTGAAAAGTTGTTTTACACAACATCCACAAGGTTTAGTTTTATATAACGTTTGCATAAAATTTGCAATTAAGCTTGCAGCTATACCTCAACATATTTGTTTTGAAGGTACAATTTTCTATTTATTTACAAATGTACATATTTTAAATTAATTCTGTGTTGATTGAACTCTTCTTAAAACTTTTTTTTTATTATATTCGGGAATACGTTTATTTCACTATTCGATGTCAGGTAGGGATAAAGGTAATTTTCAGATCAATAGGATATTATCTATTTTATTTGTGAAAATACCCCAATATATGTCATAGAAATCAAAGCAAGAAAGATGGCTAATTTTCAGTTATATTTGGATACCAGAGCCTATTCTCTCCCCAAAGGAATGCAATAACAATGTGATTTTTTTTAGAAACATTGATTATTTAAAGAGTGATATATTAAATCCACCGTTTTTAACATCAATGATTTGTGTGTAAATGAAAAATTCCATAATTACAATTTGGTAAAAGGTAAAATATAAAATAACTGATAGTACTACTGACAGTTTTTGTGTTTGAATGAAACTAATGCTGCTTGTACTACGTTCATTGAGCAGATTATCACAGAGCACTACTTGGTCCATGCAGACTATTTCTCATCTGAGATGATCCCAATGCCCTTGTTATTTCCTTCATTGCACATAGAATGGAGGTCAACACATGTGCCCTGAACATAGGGCTTCCTCCTTCCCATACTTCAATCATGAAAAATGTAAGTTGCGCTTTTGTTTGAAAAATGAAAGTATTTAATTATGCTATTTCGACTATTTGCATTACAGGCCTAAGACAGAATTTTCATACTACTCGATGCGGCACAACACAGCGGACATGAGACAGCAAAACTTCAAGGCGCCGCCGCCTATGCTGTTAATGTTGTGTCCCATACGGATGACGCAGTATAAAGAACATATTGTTATGGTGCGGGGGAAAAAGGGCGATTTTTCTTCAGGAAAATTAGTTGTATTGTGGGGCCCCGATAGAAGTGGATAAATCTTGTTCGAATATGTAGTATTCGTCTAACACATTTAGTCAGAATCGTTTTGTGGGACCTTGATGCTCAAAAATTGGTATGTCTAGGGGGCGGATTTTAATGAAATGTAATTTTTTTCCCTTTTCACTCTAGAAAAATGCCGTTTAGTACATACATTAAATTTAAATTATGACGGAAGGAAATGAACCATTTTTATAGGTCATATTTTGGTATTTTTCGTCGATTTCTACTGTCATTTTTAATGTATTGTTCAAATCCGCCGTTGTGACTTCCATGTAATATAAGGTTCCTGTGACACCTATCAGCGCCATTGACAGTTCGGCCGATTTGGCGATAAAGGCAGAGATTTTCTTTTAAAGACCAAACTTCTGCGAACCAAACTGAACTGTTCAAACCAAAATTCTGCGAGCTCATTTCACTTGAACAAAAGGCACATGACTCGATTATAACAATAACGTATCCAACCGCATGAGTTATTCATCTGAAGTGGTTTGGATAACTTTTTTACGTCATTTTTCTTTGTTTTTAGGGCATTTTAAGAGCATTTTATTGACAATTTTTGGCCAAGTTTTAGGTAATCAAAATACGGCCACTATTAATGACGACTGGTGTGTTCGACAGGTCGCGCGCACTCCGCCTGCATTAAGCAGGCGTACTAGGCATACTAGCGTGCTATGATCGAGGGAACCGCCTTGACCCTCGCCTATTTCCACCTAGGTTGCATCCCCGCTCCTCTGAGCGCGATTTTTTCTAAATGTTTGTTCGCAGTCGCCGTCAATGATATTTGACAGCGAAAATGCAGTGCAAGATATTATTACTGTACTCGTGCGTCCTTTCGGAAGAACCCGCCACTCACAGCAACTTGGCCGCGCCTTCCCCCCGGTCCTCACCGGAACCCTCTTCATCTCTTCTTTGGTCGAGAGATCTATCTATACTTCGATCTTTTGCGCTGCCGCAGTCAACCGAACACTTGTGCTTGCACCCTCACTATATCTGCGAAAACGCACGGTAAGTATTACAGTTTTGTTCGTGTTTTTGAAATGACTCCCACATGCGGAGGAGGGCATTTCTCCCTTCCCTCCGCTAAGACGAGGAATTGCTTCTGGGTGCAAGGAGTCTCACTGGCTCTGAGTATTAATTGTGGCTACACTCCCATCAACACGCTCTGGCCTTCATTTTTTTTATGACAAACGATATGAAAAGGACGTGCAAATGCATTTTTTATGGGAACTAGACATCTGATATTAAAAATACACACCCAGAAGGGACCGCACTCCTGGATCGTGTGCGACATTTACCCTCTAAAATCACATCACCCTTTTGCAGATGTAACACTACATGGGCAGTCCTAAGGGGTCCTATCCTGAGCCCCGGAATATCTATCTTCCACTCCTGTCCCAGCATTGTTGCTTTAAAAATGATAGCAATGAGAGTAGCAGACAAAATCTAGTGAGGAATGTTCGCTCCCGTTCATTAAAAACATTTTTGCATGGAAAAACGAACTACAAATTCGACGTAAAATTCCTTTCATCAAAATAATCATATTCTCCTTCCTCTCGAATCTAGCGAAGCGAGGGCTCAAGAAAACGTGCGCGGATAATATCAAATAATATACTCTTCCGCTGTGAAGGAAATAATACATCGTGGTTACCGCTTTTGGACAATCGTTCATGAATCATTCTTGGGAACTACCACTGTTTTCCACACCGCGAGAACCACAGTTACAGTGCAGGCAATGTCACTAAGAAATACTCATACACCATGGGCACAGTGTAAGCAGTGCAAGAGTTACGGTCTATTTCGTACACCATGGTTTAGGCTGTAATCTGAAATAACGCTGTTTCCCTGAAGACAATCTGCAGGACAGCAGCATTTATTCACCGTGATACAAATGTGTTGCAATGTGTGATATGATATTGAAAACAAATTATGTTGGTAATGCATGTCTAGAAACAAATGATGGGGAAACAGAAGAAGACCAGAAACAAGCAGTTAGGGAACACTCGAGAGTGAAGGCTGGTGAAGGTTGAGAATTGACTGTCAAACTATCACCTGGATCTCACTGGACAGAACTGTAATTATCATTAATACTGATAACGTCTAAGTTAACCCCAGTTTTCTGTTTAACCTAGTTATTGTTGAATGGGTTTGTATATTTTTAAAGATACATAATATCTGGCACTACGAAGATGGTAGAAATTGATTCTTCAGAATCGTCGTCTGATGAGGAAGACAGAAGATTGAAACCAATTCGCCGTCTTGACGGCCCAGGATTTACCTCTAGAACTCGCGTATTTGATGCTGCCGAGCAACCGGAAGGTATGTGAACAATGGAACGCGCCGAAAGTTGTCCGCTTAT